TTTGCTGTAACACAGGAAACTTCTTATTTGTAGAATAATGCCAAATACAAGGCTACATTGGTCATTCCTCCCCTTTTTGGTTTTTAAATAAGGTCTCATTTTGTATTAAAAAATTATCACTATCCTTTATGGAACAAGAGCATATTATTTGGGTTAGCTAAATAACATTTACTTCAAAGCAAGAAAACTTTCTTATAAAATTTGTTACATATTTTCAATTTGTACCTTAATACTTACCTTTAATCAAAATTATTATGGTGTAAAGTGACAAACACTCATGACTTTTTTTTTTGAGATGGAGTCTTGCTCTGTCACCCAGGCTGGAGTACAGTGGTAAGATCTTGGCCCACTGCAACCTCTGTCTACCGGGGTCAAGCAATTCTTCTGCCTCAGCCTCCCGAGCAGCTAGGACTATAGGCGCATGCCACCATACCCAGCTAATTTTTTGTATTTCTAGTAGAGACGGGGTTTTACCAAATTGGTCAAGTTGGTCTTGAACTCCTGACCTCATGATCCACCTGCCTCGTCCTCCCAAAGTGCTGAGATTACAGGGGTGAGCCACCGTGTCAGGCCTTTTTTTTTTTTTTTTGAGATGGGGTCTCACTCTGTTGCCCAGGCTGGAGTGCAGTGGAGAGATCTTGGCTCACCAAAACCTCTGCCTCCCACGTTCAAGCAATTCTTCTGCCTCAGCCTCCCGAGTAGCTGTGATTACAGGAACGTGCCACCATGCTCAGCTAATTTTTTTTTGGTATTTCTAGTAGAGACAGGGTTTCACCATGTTGGCCAGGATGGTCTTGATCTCTTGACCTTGTAATCCACCCGCCTTGGCCTCCCAAAGTGCTAGGATTACAGGTGTGAGCCACCGTGCCCGGCCTACTCTTTCCTTTTGCCATTTTCCATCCCCCGACCCTCCAACCTATACAGTCTCGTAAATCTTCTTAAGCAGAATTTGAAAGAAAGTAAATGAAATCAGCACAATTTCTGTGTAGGATAATTTGGTATTATCAAAATTAAAAATCCTTTTGATCTAAAGATCCCAGGCTAAAGATTTATCATATAGGTATAATTTCCTCATTATATGGGGTTTTCATTTTTAATTATTTTCATTTTTTTGAGACAGGGTTTTGCTCTGTTACTGAGACTAGAGTGCAGTGGTGGGATTAGGGCTCATTGCAGCCTTCACCTCCTGGGTACAAATGATCCTCCCACCTCAGTCTCCCTAGCAGCTAGGACCACAACCCTGTGCCACCACAGACAGCTAATTTTTTATTTTTTGTAGAGACAGGGTCTTACAATGTTGCCCTATCTTGTATGAGGTTATTCATTGCATCTTAGCATGTAATAGTAATGGCTTGGCAACAAGCTGAATATCCACCTGTAGGGGACTGATTGGTTAAACAAGTTAGGATATTTGTATACAGTGGAATATTATTCTGCCTCTAGGAAGAAAAATGTAGTTCTTTTTAAAATTTTATTTATTTATTTTTGATACGAAGTCTCCCGCTGTTGCCCATGCTGGAGTGCAATGGCGTGATCTTGGCTCACTGCAACCTCTACCTCCTGGATTCAAGTGATTCTCCTGCCTCAGCATCTCAAGTAGCTGGGATTACAGGCACACGCCACCACCCCCGGCTGATTTTTTGTATCTTTAGTAGAGATGGGGTTTCACTATATTGGCCAGGTTGGTCTTGAACTCCTGACTTTGTGATCTGTCTGCCTTAGACTCCCAAAGTGCGGGGATTACAGGTGTGAGCCACCGTGCCTGGCAAAGGTAGTTCTTTATATACTGGTATGGTAAGATTTCCAAGATGTTTTTCTCTTTTTCCTTTGTTTTTTCTTTTTTTTTTTTTAGACAGGGTCTCACTCTGTCACCAGGGTGGATGGCACACTCTCAGCTCACTGCATCAACCTACTGGGCTCATGTGATCCTCCCACCTCAGCTGCCAGAGTAGCTGGACTACAGGAACGCACCACCACGCTAGGCTAATTTTTGTATTTTTTGTAGAGATGGGATTTTGCCATGTTGCTGGGGTTGGTCTCAAACTCCTGGTCTCAAGCAACCAGCCTGCCTCAGCCTCCCAACGTGTTGGGATTATAGGCCTGAGCCACTGTGCCCAGTCTATCCAAGATATTTGAAGTGAGAAAAGGAAGAACTGAACAGTGTATATAGTGTGTTATCTTTTGTGTAAAAAGAAGTATCCCTGTATTTTAACGTATTGTTTACAAATACGTACAGAAGGATACATTATAAAACGCTAAGTGATTGCTTTCCAGTAGTGGAGTAGCTAACGGATAGAGATGGGAGAATCAATCGTTTTTCACTCTATTCTGTCATGTTTTGAGTTTTGCATTAAGATATTTCTTAATTTATATAGATCTATAGAGAAAATGTAGGTAAAGAGTGAAGCTTAAGAAATAGTAGGTAGTCATTTGGGTGTGGTGGCACATGCCTGTAGTCCTGGCTACTCTGGAAGCTGAGGCAGGAGAATTGCTTGAACCCGGGAGGCGGAGGCTGCAGTGAGCCAAGATCGAGCCACTACATTCCAGCCTGGCGACAGAGCGAGACTCTGTCTTAAAAAAAAAAGAAAAGAAAAGAAAAGAAAAAGAAACAACAACAACAGAAAACAGTAGGTAGTCAGGAATTTTTTTTTTTTTTGAGACGGAGTCTCACTCTATAGCTAGGTAACCACAGAGTGTACCAAACAAGCTGCTGGGATTACAGGCACGCACCACCACGCTTGGCTACTTTTTGTGTTTTTAGTAAAGACTGGGTTTGACTATGTTGGTCAGGCTGGTCTTGACCTCCTGACCTCGTGATCCACCCACCTTAGCCTCCCACAGTGCTGGAAGTACAGGTGTGAGCCACCTTGCTGGCGGGTAGTTAGGAGTTTTAGAAATGAAAAAGGGCTGGACGTGGCTCATGCCTGTAATCCGCTGAGGTAGGCGGATAACATGAGCCCAGGAGTTTCAGACCAGACCTGGCAACATAGCAAGACTGTTTCTACCCACCCCGCCCCCCCCCAAAAAAAAATCCACAAAAATGAAACAAAAGGAAATAAAACCACCTCAAAAAACAAAATAAAATGTTTTACACTTCTGTTGCTGCCACCTTTGGGGTTCATAAAAGCATTTTTCATATGTACATTTCTTTTTTTTTTTTTTTTTTTTTGAGACGGAGTTTCGCTCTTGTTACCCAGGCTGGAGTGCAATGGCGCGATCTCAGCTCACCGCAACCTCCGCCTCCTGGGTTCAAGCAATTCTCCTGCCTCAGCCTCCTCATATGTACATTTCTTATACTAATTGATTACGAAGTTCCTCAAAACCTTTGAATCTCTTTTTTATTTTTTAATTTTTTTTTTTATATAAGACGGGGTTTCACCATGTTGGTCAGGCTGCTCTTGAACTCCCGACCTCTGATGATCCACCCGCCTTGGCCTCCAGAGTGCTTGGATTACAGGCGTGAGCTACCACGCCCGGCCCAACCTTTGAATCTCATTAAAAACAATCTTTAAAGTGATCACTTCAAAATCAGAAAGTAAACAACAAAAACAACAAAAAAAAACTTCACAAGGCTTCTTCACTGAAAGTAAACAGAGACGTGAGATTTTATCAACGTCTTGTTTATGAAATGAAGAACAAGAGGTTCATCCCTCGAAAGAGTATACAACCCTACTAGGTTCTATGAGACCCTTTGAAAACCCTGTCAAATCGACATCATTTTACTGAGTTAAATTACGGCTTGCCCTGACTGGAAGGATGTTTAGAGGTGAAAGAAGTGTTCAGAACGATATCCCGAAGAAAAAACATTAGTGGACTAGGTGCGGTGGCTCACACCTGTAATCCCAGCACTTTTGGAAGGCTGAGGTGGGTGGATTGCTCGAGGTCAGGAGTTCTAGACCAGCATAGCTAACATGGCACAACCCGTCTCTACTAAAAGAACAAAAATTAGCTGGGCACGGTGGCAGGCGCCCGTAATCCCAGCTACTCAGGAGGCTGAGGAACGAGAATCGCTTGAACCCCGGAGGCGGAGGTTGCGGTGAGCGGAGATCACGCCACTGCACTCCAGCCTGGGCAACAGCGAGATCTGTCTCAAAAATAAAATAAATAGGCCGGGCGCGGTGGCTCACGCCTGTAATCCCAGCACTTTGGGAGGCCGAGGCGGGTGGATCACGAGGTCAAGAGATCGAGACCATCCTGGTCAACATGGTGAAACCCCGTCTCTACTAAAAATACAAAAAATTAGCTGGACATGGTGGCGCGTGCCTGTAATCCCAGCTACTCAGGAGGCTGAGGCAGGAGAATTGCCTGAACCCAGGAGGCGGAGGTTGCGGTGAGCCGAGATCGCGCCATTGCACTCCAGCCTGGGTAACAAGAGAGAAACTCCGTCTCAAAAATAAATAAATAAATAAAATTAAAAAAAAATAAAATAAATAAAAGGAAAAGAAAAGCATTGGTGGTAGAAGATGTTCCGGTGACGAAGAAAGAGGACCGGTTTGGCTTGTTAAGTTTACTAGAATTACCGAACAGCCTCCTGCGTCCTTTGCCTCTCTGCTGGAACTGTTGAGGATTCTAGGGTTCGACACCTGGAAGCAGGTCTAGGGGGCTCCGGGTTGGGCCGGATCCCCACCGGGGGCGAGGGGCGCAAGGCTTGGGCCCCGCACCTGAGCCCCAGAACCTGCAGATCCGGCTCGGCCCAGCCCGGCCCCGCCCTTCCGAACCTCCCTAGCGGGCTGAGCGCAGGAGGGCGTGTGCGCCCGGATGTGCAGGCCTGGTCCTGCCCTGGTAGCCCTGCCCGACGCGGCCGCAGTGCCCAGAGGCTCAGGCCTAGACCGCTCGGGCCGGTCCTCCGCCTGGCCCGGGTCATCGAACCCCCACAGCCGGGCACGTCACCACCTCGGGCGTCGCCTCTCGGCCCAGCGGGCCCACAGATCCCGTTCCCCACCCTCCCAGCCGGGAGGGGGCGCGGAGGCGTCACGTGACGCCCCGCACTCGCCGGGTTCTGGTCACATGGGCGGCGCGGCCGCTGCGTCAGTCACAGTCCTGGCTGCGGGAGTCGAGCCGCCGTCGCCGCCGCCAGCGGACGGGGCGGGGATCCTGGTGCCAGGTCCTCGTCAACCCGCCCTCGCCGCCTCAGTCAGCCGTCCCAGCCGGGGCCCGACCGTCATGGAGCGGTGCGGGGCCTACGCCTGTTCCGTGTGAGGCGCGTCGCTCGCCGCCGCCGCCGCCGCCGCCACCTTGGCTTTTCTAGGCCTCTGGAACCCCCGCCGCCTCCCGGAGCCCCTCGCCCTTGGCAGCCTGTCGCCGCCCCCTGGGCGGGCTCGGATGCGCGTCCGGTGAAGGTGCAGGCCCGGCGCCGCCACTGCCGCGGCCAGGAGATGGTTCGGGCCTAGCGGAGCCGGGACTGGAGGTGAGAGGGCCGGCGGACTGACTGAGGGCCGTGCCGGGCCGCGGGGGCTGTGGCCCGCGCCGGGTGGGGGAGGGGGGCGCCAGCTCCTCAGGGAGCCCCGGGGAGACCCTCCGCGCTGGGGCTGCGCGATCGGGCTTCACCCCTCCCCTGATCTTCGCGTCCACCACCTTCCCGCAAAAATAAGAAAATTAAAAAAGCGAACCGAGTCCTAACAGTTCTCAGAAATCCATCTTTCCAGTGTTTCTCCTTTCCTCTTTCTTAATCCATTCCTTTCCTCAGACATTTCATCGGCTGATTTCTTACTTTTTCCTATCCTCCTCAATTTCACATTATTTCTAATTAAAGAGAAAATAGGCCCAGATTCTGGCTAACATTACCCAACTAGTTCTCGCTTTCCTTCTCGCGATCCTGCGCACCTCTCCCACCCCCCACCCCCGCACAAAAAAAAAAAAAAAAAAGGAAAAATTTCCGCCTTCGACTTGTGAGGGGGGTTGACTAAAAATGGGAACGTGAGGTTATAATACTCAAACAGTCCCCCCGACAACTTCTCAATCGGCCTGTTACCTGGTTATCCCAGTAGCTTGTGCGTGGATATTGATGTTGAGGCCTTTCCTCCAGCTGCCTGTGCCTGGGGTTAATCTCGTAATTGACGTCAGTGCTTTGTTCCTTCTACTTTGCTGTTCCTTCCACTCTTTGAGGATGGATCATGCAGTACAGGAGTTTTGGGAGTAACCTTATTGCCTTTTCGTATACAAACAACGTTATTTACGGGAAGTGGAAGTACAAATCTGAAATGTTTGTGTATGGAGTTCAAGGCGAAGAGTCCGATTTAGGGTTCTCGCAGTTTGGTCACTTGTAATTCAGAATGATCGGTTTCCTCCCTGCTGGCCATATGGAAATTTCAAAGTAAGGCCAGTCTCTTTTCCATTGACCAGTGTTTTTCTTGATGGAATCTAAGCTATAGGTGACTGTGAATAGACTGTAAATGTGACATAAAATGTGTGCTGTTTTTAGGGCTTGTGTCAATATCGCAAAGCTTCGTTTCTGTATTGATTCTGCACTTTATAAAGTGCTTTTTAAAACTTAACTGGCCTTTAACGTATCAATTGAAATATGTATGAGAACTTTCTTAATTTGGGGTTTGATAAAGAGCCTTTGTGGTCTGTGAGTCTGCCTAGAATCATCTTTGGTCATATGTGCATAAAGAAGTGTTGGCAAGTGGCCACTTGGTTTTCGACAAAGCTGGCTTCTTTAAATTTCTCAGGTTCGTGTTCCTTATTCATCACTGCATCTTTCAGCCCCTAAACATGGAAAAATTCCCAATAAATTATTTTAAGTTATCTTTCAGAGTTAACTTACTAAAAATCTGGAACCAGTCAAATTTTTCTTTTTTTAATATCAGCAAGTTCATTCAATTTGTGGTGGTTTGCACGCTGATGACTTTGGTTGTTGTTAGCTCTGTACAAACAGCAGGCAAATTTTACTTTAAATAAAATTTTGCTTCAAGTGGGGACAAGGTAGGGTGTCTGAAAAAAGAGCTTAGCTGTGTTCATTGGAACATGTTCTACAATTTGGGAGTGTAAGGTGAAACTGTAATTAAGAATTCTTAAAGATAGACTTTTTTTGTTCTGAGTTACTTGCTACTTGTCAGATTCTCACATTCAGGTTTATACATTCTTTTCTGTGTACCCTTGAGTTATTGTACCTTTTTCTAACAATATATTCTGCCGCTGGGCCTAGTGGTTCATGTTTGTAATCCTAGCTTTGAAAGGCCAGGGTGGGTGGATCACCTGAGGTCAGTCTGGCCAACATGGTGAAACCCCATCTCTACTAAAAATACAAAAATTAGCCCCGCATGATGGTACACACCTGTAGTCCCACCTACTCCAGAGGCTGAGGCATGAGCATCAAATTAGCTAGGAATGGTGGCGTGCACCTCTAGTACTAGCTACTCTAGAGGCTGAGGCATGAGAATTGCTTGAACCGGGAGGCAAGGGTTGCCGTGAACCTCGATCACACTACTGCACTCCAGCCTGGGTAATGCCTCAGAGCAATCAAATGGAAGCCCACTATATTTTCTGCATCGTAATTTTCTTTTTTCCCCCATCTCTTGCAGATATTGAGGGATGCATAATTTTCTTATAGATCTGTTATAGGGTCTTTGAGCAAGTATCATATTTATTCCTCTCTTTATCTTTCTCAGTATTTTACTCAATTATTAGATTGAATTTGAATGTGAGAATATTTTGAAGTTGAAATTGTTCCATCAGGTTATCTAAGGTTTCACGAAAAGATAATGTGAAGAAAGCTGTATGAGCGAAGAATCAGTACTTGAAAGGGAAAAATACAGCTTCAGAAGATGAGACAAAAGATGAAGCTTTCTAAAAGTTTTGTATTTTGCCTTTTTTGAGAAGGTAAGGTAAATGTCATAGTTTTATATGTAACTGAGAGGAACAAACAAAACAGGTATTTCTTCTTTCATGTCCATCTACTGGTTTAGAATGGAGTTGAAAATCGTGAGGACTTTGTGGTATTTTTAATAAAATTAAAGAGGTGTTCTTAAGTATTGAGGGTACACCTGGACAGTGACCCAGAAGTACAACATGTACTATAAAAAATTGATGACTTAGATTTTTTTTTACTTTAGCTTTATTCTACAGATATCTCACTCTAAAGACTTTTCTATATGATATAAAGGTTCCCAGCTGTCCTCATCCTTATATTTTACCCATTCCCTTATTCATTTCCTCTGATAAGTTGGAACAATTGTATTTGATTTCTGGGAGGGTGTTAGCTAGTCTCAGTTATTGTGAAATAAGGTGTAACTAGTGACTAAGGACTGCATAGAGCTAACCTGACCTGTTACCTTGCTTTTTTCTTTGGTTTAAGAAAAGCACTCCTACTTGTTGTTAACTTCCTGTATATACCCCTCTTGGTTATTTGAAGTGATACTCTAGTACATGGAAGAGGGCAGTAATACATGTTTCAGTTACTGAGTTTCGGCCCATCATCTGCATTCCTATTTGTCTTGAGGTTCATTTTCACTGGCATCATATCGTGAAAATTTTAATGATACTGGGGCACAGAAAATCTTAGAACCACCAAATTCAATTCCAGAGTATTCTAAAACATTTAAATAACAGAACTACCTATTCTATTTTTGAAGAAAAAATACCTTATTTAACTACCTGCTTTATCAGCTATTCTTTATTAAAAAATCTGTAACCTGAGGAATGTTCTTACAGAAGGCATTTTATGTAACTTTATCTCTCTTGGAGTACTTAATGAACTGTGTTGGTGGCTTTTAGGCAGGGAAACATAGCTTATTAGTCGGTACTGTTTTAAACTAATTACTTCAATAATCATTTCCTAGGACAGGTAAAAGAACTTCATTTTTTTCCCAAGGTTGTTGGGTAGGGGAAATCAGGGACTGACATGAGTAGATTGCACTGAAAAGCCAGTATGGTTTGATTATCCAGAGATTATAATGATCTGTTTTGGGGACTGGGCTCCCTGGGGTTGCTTTGGGCCTAATAGCTCTCCCAGGATTTTGTCAGTTTGGAGTTGCCTAGTGGGTTATGACTTTTCCTTTTCATGTAATGATTAGGGAAGGGACAGTTTTATGGAGAGGTGAGTACCAGCCAATGCTCTACAGAGACACACCTTCTTACCTTTTTGCAGTTGCTGATTGGAATATTATTTCTCCTATCTTGTTTCTTACCTGTTAAAATTTCACCAGTTTTAAAGGCCTAATTCACATTTCATTGCCTTCTTAAAGTTTTCCTTGATTCCTCACCCTACTCGAATTGTGATCGGCTTCCTTTCAATCTCTGCATCACTTTGTAGCCCTCCCTCCGCCGCCTTTTTTTTTTTTTTTTTTTTTGTCATCCAGGCTGGAGTGCAGTGGTGTGATCTTGGCTCATTGCAACCTCTGCTTCCCAGGCTCAAGCGATTCTCGTGCCTCCGCCTCCCAGGTAGCTGGGACTACAGGTGCGCACCACCACGCCCTGCTTATTTTTTTTGTATTTTTTGTAGAAATGGGGTTTTGCCCTGTTGCCCAAGCTGGTGTACCTCTTTTAATTATTTGTTACGCAGCTACTACGGGACTGTAGCCTGCTGAGTAGCATCATGAAAAATGTAGTAGGGAAGGTACTAGTAAAAGAAGGACTGTAAGTGTTTCAATATCTCATTATATATTTCTAAAAGATAAGGATTAAAACAGTAATCACAATATTATACACTAAAAAAATTTAATGCTAATTCCAGCTGGGCGCCATGGCTCACACCTGTAATCCCAGCACTTTGGGAAACCAAGGCAGGTGGATCACAAGGTCAGGAGTTCAAGACCAGCCTGGCCAATGTGGTAAAACCCCATCTCTACTAAAAATACAAAAGTTAGCTGGGCATGGTGGCAGGTGCCTGTAGTTCCAGCTACTCTGGAAGCTGAGGTAGGAGAACTGCTTGAACCTGGGAGGTGGAGGTTGTAGCCTGGGCGACAGAGCAAGAGTCTGCCTCAAAAAAAAGCCCGGGCGCGGTGGCTCACACCTGTAATCCCAGCACTTTGGGAGGCTAAAGCAGGTGGATCACAAGGTCAGGAGTTTGAGACCAGCCTGACCAACATGGTGAAACCCCATCTCTACTAAAAATACAAAAATTAGCTGGGTGTGGTGGCACGCAACTGTAACCCCAGCTACTCAGGAGGCTGAAGCAGGAGAATCGCTTGACCCCAGGAGGCAGAGGTTGCCATGAGCTGAGATTGTACCACTGCACTCCAGCCTGGGCAACAGAGCAAGACTCTGTCTCAAAAAAAAAAAAAAAAAAAAAAAAAAAAAAATTAACGCTAATTTCTTAATATCATCAGTATCCAGTTAAGTGTTCGCATTTCGCTGATTGTAGTTTTTATATTGTTTTTACAATTTGTGTGAATTAGAATCCAAATATGGTCTGTATATGTTACATTGGGTTTAGCAGCATCTCAACCTCTTTTTTTTTTTTTTTTT